CTCCTCCTCGCCCTCCTCATCTCCTCCTCCTCCTGCTCCGCCTCCTCCTCCTCCTCCTCCTCCACCTTCTCCATTCCTTGTCCTTATGAATGGCTCCTCCCTGTCGCACCTCGAGGCCAGTCGGAAAAGCGGGCCAGGCGTTTCTCCTGAGACGTCCTTACCATGTGTGAGCCTCAAGCTTGAACTGACCACGGTTTTACAGATGGAGGGCGGGTCGGTTCCAATATGTGGCTCTCGATTCAGCACCGCGAACTTTCGTACTGAAATTGAAAGAGCCTGGAGAATTGAGCGTGGGTTCCGCCTTAGCGCCGCGCGCATTCGTTTTAAACGTGTGCAAGAGCTTCACGGATTGAGGGCGGATCGTTTTCAAGATGTTGCTCTCGTCCCAGCGCCGCGCACACTGTATCTCAAAAATCTGCCATGATCTAGCGGATTGAAGGCGGCTCCTTTCAAGATGTCGTTCTCGCCTTAGCGCCTCGCACATTCGTTTCAAAAACACAAGAATTGCACTGATTGAGGAGTTCCTTTTCAACATGCTGTTCTCGCCTTGGCGCTGCGCACTTTCGTTTAAAAAAATCAAAGCGTTCAGCTCATGGTAAACCTACCAGACATGGTTTTTTGCAACGACTCCGGATTGTTAGGGCCCAACAGTTACGTTGATTCCTGGTGTCGAAGTCCCAGGAACAGCGTTCTCGCACGATTCAAGGTCGTCGAGACGCAACAGTCAAGTTGACTCGTGGCGTTGAAGTCCTGAGAATGGTGTTTTGGCACGCTCCAGGATTTGCACACGGTTGTCCCCCAACGGGGCACTTCCCTCAGTGCATCTGATAAATGTTGTAGGTTCTATAGAAACGGAACTTGGAGGGAGGGTGTATTCCAACATCGTTGATGAGTCTTGGGTTTGCTCTGGTCCTCCTCCTACTCCTCCTCCTCCTCCCCCTCCTCCTCCTCCTCCTCCTTCTCCTCCTCCTCCTCCTCCTCCTCCCCCCCATTTACTCGTCTTCCTCCTCTTCCTCTACCTCTTCCTCCTCCTCCTCATCATCCTACACCTTCTCCGTCCATTCCCGTTCCTTATGAATAACTCCTCCCAGTCGCACTCTGGAGCCAGTCGGAAGGGTGGGCCGGGCGTTTCGCCTGAGACTTCCTCACCATGTATGAGCCTCAAGCTTTGAAGCTGAAAACAGTTTCCAGAATGTGGTTCTTGCTTCAGCGCCGCGCGCATTCGTGTTGAACATTTGCAAGAGGTTGACGGATAGAGGGCGGCTCCTTTCCAAAATGTGGCTCTCGCATTAGCGCCGCGCGCATTCGTTTGAACATTTGCAAACAGTTTACGGATTGAGGGCGGTTCCTTTTCAAAATGTGGCTCTCGCAACAGCGCCGTGCACATTCGTTTTGAAACGTTACAGGAGTTTCACTTGCTCTCATGGCCCACGTACCAGAAATTCTGTTCTGGAACGATTCAGGGTTGTCAGTGCGCAACAACTATGTGAATACGCGGTGTTGAAATCCAAGGGGCGGCGTTCTGGCACAATTCTGGATCGTCAAGACGCAACAATCAGCTTGAAGTCCTGAGAATTGTATTTTGTCACGCTCCAGGGTTTTCCCACGGCTATCCCCCAACGGAACACTCCCCACAGTGGAAATGAATCCTTAGGGCCTATGAAGAGGGACCCCTCGCATCGTGAAAGAACACGACAAAAAGCTGTCTGCCTCTGGGGGGCTCTTACCGGGCATCGGGACCGTGAAAAACGCCTCAGGACTCAAAAAAACCGGCCCTGGGGAATGGGTCAAGACATCTGGAGGTCGACGTCATGGAAAAACATGACGTCGGAGGTCTGGGACTGGAGCCCCCCATGTCATCTTGCTAGCTCTTGCGGATCGACGCTAACCGACGCTCATCGACTCTAGTCGACGCCAAATCGGCGCTCACAGGCGCCAAATCTGCGATCTCTCATCGACTACCAGACGCCAGCGCATGCTAGCGCACTCTGAAGATGGGATGCCGAGGACGCACCAGGCTCCCAGGAGCTGCTGGCCCCTGGGCAGGATCTCGACAAGGAGCAGCCGCCATCGACTCGCAATCGCAGCATCGGATCTCACTGCACACGAGCGCTTGCACGGACTCTCGACGTCGGCGCTGCTCGCCAGGGCGACGGCGGGGAACGTGAGGGTCTGGGGCCCCTCCCGGGGCCCCGATCTGGCGCCGACACCGCCGCGCTCCAAGACACCGACCGCAGCATCCCTGATCGGCCAAAATGTTGGCCACCACCCACATGAAAACGGACCGCATCGGCACGGAGTCGGAATCGAGTCGGATCGGCAGCACCAAAATGCACGACAGCACCATGCAAACACCGGGCCGCGTCGGATCATCGGAACATCGGAATCGAATCGGATCGGGCCGGTCGAAATTCACATCGAGTCGGATCGATCGGATCGTAATGCACCCCGACGTGGGACCGGTCATATATATATATATAGAGAGAGAGAGAGAGAGAGACGAGGGCGTGATCAAGAAGCACTCATGTCCAAGTCGGGGGCTGCCGAACCCAGACCTCCTCGCCTCGTGGAGAAAACAAATTAAAACACGACGGACGGTTCTTGACGATTTCCGGCCTCTCGAGAAACTGCCCAGGAGGAAAAAACGTCCTGTGGAAAGGGCGGGGTCCAGACCTCCAGGGGTCCCCGCTGCAAACAGAACACGACGCCGGAGGTCTGGGAAGGCACACCGGGCCCCAGGTGCCCAACCCCCGTCCCTCGCTACCTCCTGAGGCCCCTGGGGCCCCCCGGGCCTCGTGAGGGGTGCCCCCCTGGGAGGCCGTGGGGCCTCCCTCGCAATCCTGGGAACACCTCGGGCCAGGGGCACGCCCTGCAGCACGCGACCGATCTGGCGGCGAGCTGGGGCCCCGGGCCGAGGGGCGGGAGGCCGCTGATCGGGACGCCCGCGGGCCCCGGGCAGCGGGGCAGCGGTGGGGTCGAGCTCCGCGGCTCGGGGGAGCGAGGCCCCGAGGGGCGCGTGGCCTCGGGGCCTCGGGGAGCGGGCCGAGGGAAGACGAGGAGGCGAGGACGGGGAGGCGAGGACGAGGAGACGAAGAGACACGTCAGGAGGGGGCAGGAGGCGAGGCAGGGAGGCGAAGAGGGAACACGAGAAGGCGAGGACGAGAGCCGCCGCCCTGGCCAGCGGGGCATCGAGGGACCAAGCTCGAGGCTCGAGGATCGAGCTCCCAGGAACCAGCGCTCGGGGATCGGGAGCTTCGAGGTTTGAGGCTTTGGGCAGATCCCCGCACTTTTCAGGAAGGACGACAACGAAGTGGCTGGCCGAGATTGATTGGCTGGACTCCAGTGGGACGACTGCTAACCAACGGAGCCACTACGTACGTGCAGATCTCCGAAAAATCGACGCGGGGCGAGCATGCAGGTGCGCCGCAAGTCTCTGGAAATTCTCTGGAAGGCCCTGGAACGTGCGGAAACAAAGGAAGAGTGGACAGTTTTCCCGATGCTGGACATCCGCCTCCTTCTCCTCCTCCCCTTTCTCCTCCTCCTCCTCATAATCATCATCAGCATCATCATCATC